TTACTTTTTAAGATTATTATTATCTAAAATAATTTATTAATGTTATTCTTTTATATCTTTTAATTCTTTTTCCTTTAATAATATAGTTAAAAATTAATTTGACATTTAATTCATTTCTTATCTATTAATATTTTTTAAGTCATAAGCAAATACAAATTCTTTAAAAATTGAAATCCTAGCTAAAAGATATTAGAATTTAACAATTAATTCAAAAATGCATTTTTAGAGGCATTTTGTAAAAATATCATTCAATGGAGGATTTATTAAGAAATCTAAAATATTGAAGGTTTGGTTTAGATAAAAAAGGGACTAATTATGATCATAAATTAATAATATTGTAAAACCAAGAACAGAAAGAAGACTAGGAAAAATATAAAGTTAATTGACTTATAGTTGATTGGAGACATCTTAATTAAATACCACTCAATTACTTAGGAGAAATTTAACTTAAGTAAATAATTCATTAAAATATAAAAATATATAGAAAAAGAGGAACAGTAAGATTATTAGGAAATATAGATTATATTGGTGGAGTCTTAAAATCCAGAATAATCAGCAGCAATATTCCTAAGAAATAGAAATTAGTCAAATAAATAATTAAGAACTATTTAAAAAATTGAATATCTAGGGATTGGATTATTAAATTAGTATTAGATGTAAATAAATGTTAAATGAGGCGATTAAAAAATACAAGACGAAGATAATTGCAAGACTAAGATAATGAGGATAGCTGGCCATTACAATATTAAAAAGAGATAGGCATGTGATTTAGAAGAATTCATGGAGAATAAGAAATTATGTATTTAACTTCATGCTCTAACATAAAAATACAATTCATAACAGCCTATTAAAAAAAGGAAAAGTTCTAGCAGAAGCTTCAATAACTCACTTTTGAAAAAATTCTAGGATAATTGGGGAAAACTAAGGCTCTGATGTTAAACAAAATTATTTGTTAAGAAATTCGGTGTGGAAAGAGGAAAATGGATAATTCATGTTGCTGGTTAAACTTGTAAGATAAATTGTTAAGATAACCATTTAATGATAATTTTGTCTCTTCTTGTTGCAAGAGAAATTAATATTAATCTGACTAAATTAGGTCTAAGAGCTATCAAAAAAACCTTTGATGCTAATTCATGATATTAATTTCAAAGAGTTGATAAACATGATTAGTTAGATTAAGTACCTGCAAAGGGCTTTTGGAAGAAATCAAGCAAATTCTTTGAAACTTTAAATTTAAATTAAAAAAAAATACGCAGAACTCTATATGTTAATAAATAAGGGATAATCCAAAAGTAATAACCTCATCTCTAAAGTATTTCATTAGGGACTCGTGCTTTTATCACATTCATTTAGTCAAATGGAATGGAAATAATTTTAGTGAATCTCTAAGTTTAACAGTCACTCTCTTAGGGAAGTTTATAAGGATGGACTTTATTCTTAAATTAAACTTAGGTTATATTGGAAAGCAATTATAATTAAAAACTTTAAAATAGATGATATGTAAATTTAGAAATAGGATGAAATGACATGGAGATTAAAAATATCTCATTTTTCACCTTAATATCATCAGCTTTTGGAATGTCTTAGTTGCATTAGCAAACCACTTACATAATTTGTTTTAGTAAAAAAAAAGTGAACTTCAGTATCCTCCTTATCCATTCTTTTATCAATATACTATTCAGCTTTCTATAATATTCATATAATTATGGCTCATGAATAATTAAATGTTGTAATCTCCATCTTAAATCATTTCCACAAATTTTACACTACACAAAAATATTATTATATCTTTCAAAATATCCATTTTATTGGAAAATACTGGATTATTTATCCTTTTTCTCTGTTTAACCTTATGATCTTCATAATACTAGTTCGACAACTTCTATAGGGTTCAACACATCTAATTTCCTAATAAAAACAATAAATTTGATAAGGATACTTAAAATTAAATTTCCTGCACTGAATCAATCACTTTAACTGATAATGATTTAGGTATATCGGATATAAATATTAAAATTGTGGTCTGAAGTACGTATATGATAATTAAGTCATATTTTTGAAGGTAAAAATCTATTTAAACTTCTCAGCTAACTACTCAGATGATTAACAATAGATTTCGCTTGTTTTTACTATTTATTTATTCCACACTTAATCTAAAAACAATCTCAAGTACTTTAAATATATTTCTTTTGTAATCAAATCATATGGACTTTTATAAATAGGATATTCTTAATTTAAATATAAGATTCAAAAATGCTCAGTCAAGAAAGTTAAAGATGCCTTAAATTTAAATTAATTTTTTTTAAGATCGTAGCTTGAGTTGATAACCTAAAAATTATTATACATGTGGTTTAGGAGTAATATGTATGGACCCCAATCTCTGATTCACATAATAATAAGAATTAGATGTAGATATAATAATTGAATAATTATAAAGTTAGAGTGAAGTTTATGGCTTCATTTTGTGAATCTAAATGTAGTCATGGTAGGTGATATTAAAAAAATATTAACATTACTTTAAATTTTTTATAATTCATGAGTTTTCATAGAAAAAAGAGGATATTGAGAAAGGAAATGAGTTATATCATCCATCCATTATAGTTAAATGTTAAATGGGTATCATAAACCTTTGTCTATGAACACTAGTCAATATCTATTTTAAGGATTAATTTTGTGTAATTGCGTAAAAGTCTTTTGAAGAAGATACTAAGAGTATAAGGAAGTATAATTAATAACTAAATTAATTTGGATAACAGATTCTATAGTTAAATACTCAGATAGATATTGATATGAATCCGACAAATGTAGAAGAGTTTATTGTTTAAATAGGGAATTAAGGAATAAGTGAGCTTCCTCATAAAAAGACTATGGATCCTTGATATTGCAGATTTTAATAATGGTAAATAGTTTGATAATGTTATCCTAATAAGATGGTGTATTATAAAACTCTATAATAATCTGCTTTGAAATTATTTGAAATCTTTTCTTATGAATGAATATAAAGATTTTTGATTCAACTTATCCACCTAATATGACAAGATTTGAACCGATTCAAGTCTAATTTTTTAAGGATCAATACTTAAATTTATTAACAATATTATATAGACAGGTGATTTGTAAATTTAGTAGAAACTATTCAATCTATTTATCGGATATAAATCTCATATCTTGACTTAATCTTCGCAGTTTGAGTCTTTCCTTTATTTCTATGATGGGATTCCTCTTGTATGAAAAGTTAGATGTAAGGTTTTTTCAACAAAATAACCTCATTTGCATCGAAAGATTAAGTTGTTTGATATCAGACATCAAAAGCGATGACTAAATATTAAGGAGAATAAAGCTTTAGTCCCCTTAAAAGGAGCAAGATTGAATTCTAACTTTATGGGGGTTCAAATTAAATGATTTAGGAGCGGGTTAAGGCTGATGTAAAAGAAAGAGATTTGATGTTTATAAAATGTAGATGAAAATAGAAAAATTCAAAAATACAAGGACAAAATTAGTAAGACTTACTTAAAGTATAGAGAGTGAAACCATATCTTAGAGTAAAGTATTAAGATTTGACAACATATGGATAAATACCTATGATATTATCGATTCCACACTAAAATAGAGAGCAATTGTCAGCATTAGAACGTTAGATGAATGCAAAATGCAAGAAATCTTAGATAAGTACCAAGAGGAATATATAAAGTAATGATTGATATTAAATATTAATAATAATCATAATAACATGTGGATAAAACCCAAAATGGCTACAATGTATGATCCAACAATATTATTAAGTTAGCCCATTTAAATAGAGTTTTAAGTAGCTTTTATATTTAATTTTTTTTTAAATTATCTAAAACAAATTACTAGGCCCATATTTGTCCAAAAGTAGGGGTTTAAATATTATTCTGAATTAAAGAGAACCTGGAATCAAAAGTAGGGCATTATTCTTTCCTCTGTTTAAAATGATGTTATAAAACCTTCTATGTTATCTTCTGAGAATTTAAGGTTAATAAATAGCTTAATTTTTTCATTAATCTTCTAATATTTATTTTTTTCTTAGCCTTCATCTAACCGCACTTAAAATAGGATCTTCTGTACTATTCATTTCCCTATCTTTAATCAAGATTTTATTCCTGAATCTATAAAAAGTACATCCCTACTTATTCCCTTAAGTTCTAACCATTCCTACTAATTCTCATGAATTTTAAAGTGCATCATAATTTATGATTGTCTTAAACCTTCCCTTTTTAATTGATAATATTCTGAATTTAAGCAAGGACTTCCTCACTCCCATGTTATCTGATTGTCCAATTAAATATTTATCAAGATATTTACACAATATTATCTAAATTTTGAACAAGTCTTACAGCAAATTTAAATAATTTCTGATCTTCCAGACAATCATAGTATTAAATATGTTTTAGAAATATTTCCAATTAATTTAGCCAATCTCTCATAAACCTGAGCATCAATTTTATAAAGACACTATAGGATTGGATGTATTCTTTTCTTTCAAAGTTTTTGATCCTTCCCTTTATCAAATATTGATAATCCATATTTTTTTAAAAACTGGTCTTTTCCTTTATAAAGTTTCTCCATTCTACTCTCACCTATATCCAATAAGTTAAGCATATCTTCTGGCTCAGTCTCCATCTATCTTTTATTTTCACATCCTTATTTTCTTTGAATAGGGTAAGTTTCTATAACATGGTCTCACTGACCACATAATTAAATCCTTAACAATACTTCTTGATTAAGTCGACTTATTAAAACTTTGAGGGATCCTTTCTTTAAAAGTAGTATGTTAATTTTAAATCCTTCCAATGTTCATTATTCATGTAATTCTGTTATTAATTATACTAATTATAGAGATATTTAAAATTTCTTTACACTCCTAAACCGAAATATTTTATTCCAATATTAAGTTAAACTCTACTATTTTTATATCTACGCTCCTCTGTCAAAATTATTTTCTTCCCCTTATTATCTTAAAGTATTATCTCCATTTACATCATACTCTTCATGATCTTGAATAAAATGTAATACTTAAGCACATTTGGACTAATTACGTGTGGAGCCCAAAATACAATAATTTTTTGCTCTTCCCTCATCTTTGACTCTTAGGCTTAATCTTCAAATTAATCCAAGCCTCCTTAATTATCTTAAGTATAATTCCTATCTTCCTTTAGATAATATTTTTTAATATTAATCCTAATCTCTACATTTTACAATAATATTTTCATATAGTCTTTAAATACTGGATAATCACTCAATCAGTCAATGTCGATTAATACTTTTCCCTATTAAGTATTCCTATAATGATTCCTTAATTTCCATAATTTTTCGCGTTTACAAATAAAGAAAACTTATAAACACATACTTATTTTCTAAAAATTACTTCATTATTCAGTTTCATAAACTCTGATGAGACTTTTAGTATTTGTTTGAGAAGGCTTAATTAAAAGAATGATATCTAATTTCTTTAGTTAAATACTTCTCTTAACTTTAAAATTCATCCAAAGTTCATTTCCTCTAAAATTATAGAAGCTTTCAATAATAATAAATGTAATTTTCTTTTTAAAAGTTTAATCGTTTTTCCTTACAATTATTGTTTTTAGTTGAAATAATGTAGTAAATTAAATTTTAAGAATAAAGAGGTGTTTGGGATGGAGAAAATAATGTTTTATAAATATTTTGTTTTTAGCCTAAACTATTCTTAATATTTACTACATGATTTTGGTTTTCATTTAATTTTAAAATTTAAGAAATTATTTCCTAAATATCAATACTTTTTTTCTTTAATTTCGCTTAAGAATGTGAGATTTTTAGGGAATCAGTTAATTTGGAGCCCCTCAATATTTCCTTTTCGTTTTCCCGATGCCTCATGCTTAAACCAATTTTGCAGATATATACTTTTGGTATGAGCATGATGCAAAGAGAAATGATAAACAATTCTGTTAAGAGCTTGGTGTCTTCTGCTGAATCATAACACAGGGAGTCTTAAGATTTCCGATCCTACTAATTTTAAAGTTAAAGATGGAATATGTGATCATCAATCTGAAAAAAACCCAAGGTTGTGCTAATATAAGGGAAAGATACTTCATCGAAACATTATACTACAAAGCCATAAATTATTTGAAATATTATACTTCACAACAAATTAGACTTTTAAGTAAATGAAAAATAACTAATAAAAGCGTGATTATTCAATTGAGTAAAGCCAGAAGGTTGGTTTATATGCATACTAACAGTATATTTCTTAGCGTTTAACTTATTCTTTATTAAATCCTTGATGAGACTAGAATTATTGGCACTTTTCAAAGTCCTAAAATTTAGGAATAATGTTTTCCTTGTTAGTATGAAAAGCTAATAATTCTTCTCTCTTAATGAGGTTAATGCTCCTCGATTTAATCTCCAACTTTTTTCTTAAGTTAATTGAGGGATAAATTAATTAATATTTGAAGATGATAATAATTGGTTTTGTGATTAATGGGTTACTTTCAGGCAAGTAGCTATAATTAACAGCTAGATTGATCCTTTAGAGTTTAAAAACTTGAATTTAAGATGACCAGTTATGAAACCAAACAAAAATGGTTTCAAAGGAAAGCTCTTTCTAAACATAATAGAAGTCAAATATTTTTGGAATGATTAGCAAAGAGTTTTAATTGAATGGTTAAAAGATGAAGTTTGAAATTAACATCTTATTCAAAACCCGACTTTTCAGCAAGGATAAACCATTAGCATTAATGAGAAATACATGGAGATTTGATAGAACCATATATATAGAAAGAGACTTCCACTTTATTGAAAATTACATTAGGGTTAATTGGATTACTTAAAACCTTTGTAAGCTAATATCAAAATGGACCTTAATGCAATTAATAAAGAATTTATTTTTTTCTTTAAGAATATTTGATGGAAATTTAGGAAAATTAAAATTAAATTGATTTAGTAAACCAGAAAACCTCAAGGCTAAGAGGTGAAAAAGAATTAACTTTGTAGAGATAGTTAGGTAGCCATTGAAAACAAAATGAATCATCTTGGTTTTAAAGTTAAATCTAAATCTGCTCCTTGGTAAACTGGCTTTATAGTGCTATTTATCTAAGATAGTGTACTTATATTCCCTTCTTTACTGTTCAATAAAAAGCATTTAGCATCTTCCTATTCAATTACTTAGTAATACTGAAGGTTGTTGAGGTTGAAAATATGAAGATCGATTCAATTTATGATTTTTTAATTTGAAATAACAAACTTATAATAAGTGCAATCATTAGCCTATTGATTTCTTTGTTAAATTTGATAATTGCAATAGATATAAATTTTGAGGGTGGGTTTTATAGTAAGAAAAGTCCTTTTATGGTACGTATATAGATGTATTTTAGAGTCTCCTTGTTTAAAAAGTTGTTTCTTTAAAAATGAGCATATGCTCAACTTAAAGATGATGCAATCAATTTTAAGTAGTAAACTTGCAGATAATTTAATCCTAGTTTAAAACAATAAAGCCAAATTTAATCCATTTAAAATAATCCCAGTGTTGAAGATATCATATTAATATTTATTTTAAAAATAATCAGAACCAGATTGCGCGAAAAAATATATTGAGATAGTTAAACTCCACCTTATTGGCTAGAAAGAGGGGGTCGAACCTAGTAAAAAATTATACTGTTACTCTTTATAATAAATATCAGATGATACCCATTTATAATCCTTTAAATATTGACCAAAGGCAAGACTTGGTTCCATCTTTTTGAAGAAATTTACTGTATCCAAATTCACGCCTCTGATTTGCATAGTACTATTAAATTTGATGTTTGTTCAAGCATAGCAATTGGATTTTTAAAAGAATATTGATTTGATTGCATCAAAAAAATATGAATTAAAATTAATTCAAAATAATAATAAGAGGAATTAAAAAAGCCATAATTTATAAATACATTCTTATATTATATTAAAAAATAATAAATTGTTTTTTAGGGAAATTAATTTGAATTGAATTATCTATTGAATTTGAAATGGTAGAGGATATATGTAAGTATAATTAAGTTTTGATCTAAAAATTTAAGATGAAAATTGCTTTTATTATAATAATTATTTACTCTGTTTGACTTTTCACGAAATCTTCAAATATAAAAATTCCAAGAAAATTTAAATTTGTCTATAACTATTCATTTGTTTCTTTGAGTTTCTCCTCAAATTACTATTACTTAGAACTAATAAAATTATTTTCTATTTAACATTATAAAGCATTACTTTCATTTTCCAAAATTGTATTTGTTTCTTTTAATTTTATTATTTCATCCTCTAATTATTTAATTGTACAATATTTTTTCAATTAAATGCTATTATTATCAAATGTATTCACATATTCATTTAAAATATTTGATAATTTAGAAAATTGAGACTTTAATTATTCTGATTTAACTGTTTAATCTTAGGATTTAGTCTATATATTTTATTTAAAGTATTCTATCTTCTCTACATGTTACTAATAAACCATAATAGTTGAATCAAATAGATTTAATTAACATTGATATTTTTTAGCTTAATCAATCAATTCTTAAATTTCTTTAATAACATTCATTTGGTTTTAATAGTTTTCATCCTTTTATGCACATTTTTACATTTCTTAGATCATATCAATAAGTTAAATGATTAAATTCTTTTCAACTAAAAAAAATAGAAATTTGATACTTGAAATATCCTTTAGTATATCCAATGATTATTAAATATCCTATTGGTCATATTATTGTAATGATTCTAAATGTAATTGAATGTCCTTTTTGAATATCTAATCCTTATTTTTCAAATTTATAATTATTTGACTTTATGAGACTTTTTCTTTTTCCTTTTCAATTAATTATTTTAAATCCTTCAGTAATTATTCTTCACCTAATGCTTAAATTGAAATCTTTTTTGTTTGATTTGATTATTNAATCATTATGCTGTGGATTAACTATCCTGTGTTGACTTTAATTTAGTAGATGTCTAACCTCAAATGCGACTATAAATTTTTGGAACATGAACCGGATGATATGATCAAATATCCTTCATTTGATTACAATAGATGTCCTTTCTATAAATTCTGTAGGCAATGTAATTATACTTCTACAGAACCTTCTGTAAATAAGGAACAAGACATAAGACATTTCTAACTGATTGTGGTTACATAATCCAAAAGAATAAAAACACCCAAATTTAAAAATGAGATTCCAATGAATCATTTCCCTTATATATCATTCATTATTATTATTATTATTATTATTAATCTAATAATGGGGATATTGATAGAATCCAGTCTTTACATCTAATTAGATTCATATAATTCTAGTTCAACAAAAACTTCCATGCTAACAGTAGATATTATCTATTTGTTGAGAATTCAAGAAGGACGTAAGAAAAAATGCTGTATGGCTTTTTATTGCCTTCATATAATTGAGGAAAATCTATTTGTTCTCATTGGCAGACGTTATTCTGGGATTAGTAGAAAATTTAAAGAAAATTTAAATTTGTCTATAACTATTCATTTGTTTCTTTGAGTTTCTCCTCAAATTACTATTACTTAGAACTAATAAAATTATTTTCTATTTAACATTATAAAGCATTACTTTCATTTTCCAAAATTGTATTTGTTTCTTTTAATTTTATTATTTCATCCTCTAATTATTTAATTGTACAATATTTTTTCAATTAAATGCTATTATTATCAAATGTATTCACATATTCATTTAAAATATTTGATAATTTAGAAAATTGAGACTTTAATTATTCTGATTTAACTGTTTAATCTTAGGATTTAGTCTATATATTTTATTTAAAGTATTCTATCTTCTCTACATGTTACTAATAAACCATAATAGTTGAATCAAATAGATTTAATTAACATTGATATTTTTTAGCTTAATCAATCAATTCTTAAATTTCTTTAATAACATTCATTTGGTTTTAATAGTTTTCATCCTTTTATGCACATTTTTACATTTCTTAGATCATATCAATAAGTTAAATGATTAAATTCTTTTCAACTAAAAAAAATAGAAATTTGATACTTGAAATATCCTTTAGTATATCCAATGATTATTAAATATCCTATTGGTCATATTATTGTAATGATTCTAAATGTAATTGAATGTCCTTTTTGAATATCTAATCCTTATTTTTCAAATTTATAATTATTTGACTTTATGAGACTTTTTCTTTTTCCTTTTCAATTAATTATTTTAAATCCTTCAGTAATTATTCTTCACCTAATGCTTAAATTGAAATCTTTTTTGTTTGATTTGATTATTTAGTTTTATCTATGCATAAGAACTATTCTGCAATCAATTTATCACTTATCTCATTCAATTTTTTATTATAATTCTTTCTCATATGTGCTATTTAATTAAATAATTCAGTCTTCTTCTCTTTGCTTTCATGTTTGTATTCTTTTAATACCCTTTCACTCTCTGTGTTATATTCTTTCCATTACTTATCCACATTTTCAATACTTTAATATTTTATTTATGGATTCTCACAAATACAATCAACACATGCAAATCTATCTTCTATTTTCTTATTCTATGAATCTGAATCCATATCAATCAAAATTATCTCCTTTTTATGAATACTACAAATTCTACTTAAACTTGGTGTTTTCTATTAATACTATATAAAATATACAGAATCATTTTTAGTTATAAATGAAGGAATTAATTCAATTACATTATTTTCCATAATATCTTTAATTGTTTCTTTTGTATGCTTAAATGTATCTAATGTCTAGAAGTATTCAGAACTGTTTAATAAGAGTTCAAATTGTCTTTGTATTTCATTTATAAAATGATTATCTTCTATTAATTTAGGCGATTTCTATTATTCTTAAGGATACAATTCAGATAGCTATTTAATATCTTCGAAGTAATTTAATTATTATTCAAATTCTTATAATTCTTACTTTTCTTTTTAAATTGGATATATGTATTATTATATTTATTTATACATCTTCTCCAAAGAATCGTCAATTGATTACTTGAAATCCATAATTTAATCTAATATATTTTTATAATAGCTGAGTCTTGCTTGATTCTCTTTAGTTTTGATTTCTTTTTATTAGGTCTTCACTTATTGGATTCTCTCTTTTGATGACTCAATAGTAGTCACTTTATAGTTATTCATTTTCTCAACTAAACATTTACCACAAAAGAATTAGATCTGTGCCTTATCTGATAAATCGAAATCAACAGCAATTAATTCAAGATTATGAATTTTGCATATTGTTTCTGATATTTCCTGTACTTATTTTTGATTTAAGATGTTCATAAATATTATTTAAATTAATTTAATTATATGTCATTTAATCAACCTTTATTTGTCAAATCCATTCTAATTCTATCATTGAATTAATATAAAATAAGTATTATTATAAATTATATATGCACAATAAACTATAGAATTAAGAATAATAACTGCTTATGATCTNTATTTTAAATCCTTCAGTAATTATTCTTCACCTAATGCTTAAATTGAAATCTTTTTTGTTTGATTTGATTATTTAGTTTTATCTATGCATAAGAACTATTCTGCAATCAATTTATCACTTATCTCATTCAATTTTTTATTATAATTCTTTCTCATATGTGCTATTTAATTAAATAATTCAGTCTTCTTCTCTTTGCTTTCATGTTTGTATTCTTTTAATACCCTTTCACTCTCTGTGTTATATTCTTTCCATTACTTATCCACATTTTCAATACTTTAATATTTTATTTATGGATTCTCACAAATACAATCAACACATGCAAATCTATCTTCTATTTTCTTATTCTATGAATCTGAATCCATATCAATCAAAATTATCTCCTTTTTATGAATACTACAAATTCTACTTAAACTTGGTGTTTTCTATTAATACTATATAAAATATACAGAATCATTTTTAGTTATAAATGAAGGAATTAATTCAATTACATTATTTTCCATAATATCTTTAATTGTTTCTTTTGTATGCTTAAATGTATCTAATGTCTAGAAGTATTCAGAACTGTTTAATAAGAGTTCAAATTGTCTTTGTATTTCATTTATAAAATGATTATCTTCTATTAATTTAGGCGATTTCTATTATTCTTAAGGATACAATTCAGATAGCTATTTAATATCTTCGAAGTAATTTAATTATTATTCAAATTCTTATAATTCTTACTTTTCTTTTTAAATTGGATATATGTATTATTATATTTATTTATACATCTTCTCCAAAGAATCGTCAATTGATTACTTGAAATCCATAATTTAATCTAATATATTTTTATAATAGCTGAGTCTTGCTTGATTCTCTTTAGTTTTGATTTCTTTTTATTAGGTCTTCACTTATTGGATTCTCTCTTTTGATGACTCAATAGTAGTCACTTTATAGTTATTCATTTTCTCAACTAAACATTTACCACAAAAGAATTAGATCTGTGCCTTATCTGATAAATCGAAATCAACAGCAATTAATTCAAGATTATGAATTTTGCATATTGTTTCTGATATTTCCTGTACTTATTTTTGATTTAAGATGTTCATAAATATTATTTAAATTAATATAATTATATGTCATTTAATCAACCTTTATTTGTCAAATCCATTCTAATTCTATCATTGAATTAATATAAAATAAGTATTATTATAAATTATATATGCACAATAAACTATAGAATTAAGAATAATAACTGCTTATGATCTATATTAAAGAGGTCTCGTGGCTTTCATTAATAAAATATTAACTAGGGCTAATAATTTTGAAAATAAGTTACAGATTTTTTCGAATATATAAGACTTGCATACAATTCTAAATCATAAATCTAACTGATATTGAAACTTACTTTAGAAAAAACTTACGAGCTTGATCTTTAAGAAAGTGTGTTTTTGGATAATTTTTAAGTCTTGCAATTTTTAATTTGATTTTATTTTTAATCATAATTGAATTGATGACTAATCTGCATAAGTAATTTAAAGTTTGATCATTTAAGTTTATCTTATTTAGGATTAAGTATTTTAGGTGAAAAGGAAAAAAAATTCAAAATATTTTTCTATTTTGTGGCAAACCAAAATTGAATGATTTATAAAGAGGAGATCCTTAAATAATTTTTATTTTGAAATATTATTCAAGGCTTCTCTTAATAGAAAAAATCAATCATAAATCTAGATTCAGTAAAGGAGAATATATCATATTTTACATCGCCAACAATTCTATCTTTAGTAATATCTAGTGATTGATTAACAATAAAAAATCTATTTTCTCTTTTTTAATTATTAGGAAATTTCACCCCAAAAATTGAAGAAATTTATAACCAAAACTTTTTAGTCTTTTACCTAATGCAATTATTAACAGAACAAAATAGCTACAATAATATTAAAGCAAAAAAGGATTAAGTATGATTAACTTAACAATTTACTCTACAAAAAATTGGTACTAAAAGATCCTGTTTTATAATAAAAAATTTAGTACCTGAAATCTTCAATAAAAAAAAAGATTGCTTATGGCAATGTCGACTTCAAAACTTATTATTTGAAGTTTATTTGTTAAATTACTTCAAAATGAGTTTAAAACTCTATAATTGATTTCCTATCAAATAGAAACTGATTCTAATGGAAAATATTATTGCCTTATTGTTTTTTCTCTATTTTTTGTCAATTATACTAATAATTTGATGATTAATTTAAATTAATTCTTTTTTTTGATGAGAATGTTAAAGGAAATCGTAAAATTTTGGAAATATTTATAGATTAAGACTCTTCTAGAATTTAGATTATAAATAGATTTTTAAGCAATTGAAAATCCTGAAATTTCCTTATTTGCTCATAAGTGCATATAAGAATTCAAATTTGAATGTTATATTGCGATTATATCAAACTATTTAAAAAAAATCAAATTTTCTACCTATAATTAATAAAAAAATATAAATTTAGGTAGATTTACTGTTATTAATAAGGTTTAATATTATAAAAAGGAAAAACTATTTCTATCAGATATCCTTAGAGTTTAATATCAAATATTCCTCAATATTTGATATTTCACTTATGCCCTAAATAATAATTTTAGGTTCTTCATTTTATTAATTTGCACATACTGAAATTCAAAAATAATTTTTTTTGTTTTATTAATTTTTTGAAATTTTAGACAAATAAAAATATTTAACTTTCATTTATAATCTTACTATTTTTAATTATGACTCTATTTTCATTTACCTTTAATTTTTAAGGCTTCTATAATTTCTAATAATTTAAATATACTAATAGTTGGAATCATTCAATAATTTTATTCTTAGAATCTTAAAAAGCTTATCTTTCTTTATCCTATCACAATTATCTCTCAAAATTAATTTCTTTTATTATTTTATTTTAAGCAAAGTATTTTCACAAGGAGATACAATAAGTGTTAAGCTTTATTTTTTTAAAGTATTTATAAAAAATCTTTAGATAGCTTGCATAAAGATCTATTAATTTAATAATATAAAATGAATTGATGTTAAATATGTTCGATGAAGAATATTAAATCATATAATCTCATTCACTTAATGATATTATAACAGAATAATAATTGAAAAAAAATGGTTATTTCCAATATTAATGTTAGGTTTATTAATAAAATACTTAATAATTAAATGTTATGTATTTAATATTTCAAACCTAATCAACATGTGAATTTTTTTTCATGGTATCCCCAAAGTCCTAGATTTTTTAAAGCCAAATAATGAAATACTTTTTCAAATATTGGATAAACTTGAGCAGTTATGATTTTAACATTTAATATTCTTTAAAGATTTTATTCAACCCTTATTCAACACTAACCAAACATATTCTTCCTTTACCCCATAATATTATAATATTTTTAATGCATGCTTGCCTATCCTCCTGTTCCTAGAATTGGTTCCACCTAAATAACTTGTTATTTATTAATATTTTTTGAAAACTTCTCACAGAAATGCTTTGGTATTGATGTCTCTTCATTTCTTTGAATCAATATTTATCCAATTGATGTTCCTGAAATCAAAAAAGTATATATTTCCAGATCGAACAATACTTACAGTACATATTATCGAATAAATATAGAATTTCTACTCTTAATGAGAAAATTTGATTTCATTTGCATCATAAAATCTCAAAGGTGAATATTTAAAAGACTTCTTCTTTTCTAGATGAGCCAAAGCTTAATCGATCTGTCTTCTATCTTAAGTATCAGAATTCACATTTTTAATTAATAGATAGATTTGCCCTGTCTTGTTTTCTTGAAGAATAAATGTTAATTTTGATTTATGTTGATAGACTTTTTCAAATTTCTTATGGACTTTAAAAGTGAATGATTATCTTAAATTATTAAAAATGCTAATGAATTAGTAGATGATTATGAAATCTAATTTTAAAAAGTAGTACATTTTCAAAAAATAAAAAATCAAATTCTATCTAAATATTCAATATTTGTACGAAATCTGATACCATTAATGAACATTTATGACATTATGTAGATTTCAAGAGGAAAAATATAAATTATCAAAATAATTTATAGAAATAAGTTGAAAATTGTAGTGAATAGTTTCAAATATGCAATAATTTAATAATTATATATCAATATTAATGCAAGAAACAGAAAAAATCAATCAACAAGATATTGTTCATTTGTACTCAATGATTCATTGATTATTGAAAGCTGGATTGCAGAATGATGCAATCAGATATATGATTATAAAATGAATTGATGAAATAAAAATAAATACGTAAAACTCAGATTCCATTTATTGTTTATGAATTATGAAAAATATAATCAATTTTTTTGAAAGCTCAGATTCATCTATTATTATCGAGATCCTGAAAGATATTATATCTTGTTCAATTTTATTTTCATTTTTATTTTTTACAAAAACATGTCCAATTGAAAATGAATGTCTATATATTCATTAAGCAACATATTATGTATACAAATTTAATAATTTATAATCCTAAGCAAACATAAAACTCGTCTTAATGAAATTTCAGTGAATAACTCCTTCTTATTAACAAATTTAATGAAATGATAATTTTATTAGCTTCTTATTCACCCTTTACTTCTTTTATCTTTTATTAATATTGAAATTCAAGATTTTGTCATATAATATTAAGTTTAAAAAAATATCAATACTTAATCATAAAAATTAATTAATTAATCAATAATCTTAATAAAAACTGATGAAATTATAAATGTCTTCTTTAAAATTTTAAATTAAACATTTTTCTTTTTTTTTTATGTAAATTAAATAATCTTAAGTATATTTGATGATAAAAATAAGAATTCTACATATTAAATACTTTTTAAGACCTTTCATCAACTCTATATAATCAAAATTATAAAATATAAAACTTAAATTAGAAAACTGTCTTATTAAAAATAAATTTTTAGTTTTCAAATGAGCCAAATCTGCTAATACATAGATTAAAAAATCATCACAATTACGTAAATCTTCTGATCTTACATAAATCTATTGAAATAAATCTTCAACATTATTCATACATTATTAAAAACTGTTATCTTTTTGAAATCCAATTAAATCTTATTCACTTATTTTTCAAGATTGTCTTGATCATTTTAATTTAAAACAAAAATATTAACATATAAAAATGATTTTTCGATACTTATTTTATTCAAAATGATAAAAAACTATTAATATGTCTATTAAAAAATAATGTCCTTCATATTTTTCAAGATTATTATCAAGTTAATACGTAAAAGATAATGTTTAAATTGATGATCATAAACCAATTTAAACATTTTTTTTAATTTAACAATTAATTATTCTACAATTTATTGGTATATAAAATGTTATATCTCTTATTAAATCAAAACATATGTAAGTTTTCAATTATATTATAAATTAACAAATCTAAAGTAGAACAATAATTTTATATAAATTTTTTTGTTGTAAAAAATATTTAAATCTTATAATATTAGAGGTAGTCTGGTTTAAGTACAAAATGTTTAATAGATTTAAAATTAACTAATTTTAACAATTAATGGAAAATGGTTTAAGATTTATAATTCGATTATAATAAAAAAATGTAAAATAAAAAAGATTTGCTTTAACTAATAAAAACTTATTTCAATTATAAATATTAATCAGTTTAAGATACGATATTCATATATTATTATAATGAAGTCAGTTGATTATAGTTGATGAAGTAAATAGTCTAGGTTTAGAAAATTAGAAAATTTTAATTTACTAATGAAAATATGCTTGTAATTTATGGAATAATTGAACCCAGCTGTATGGAGCTGAATTATAAATAAGTCATTTAATCATATGTTATACAAAATTAGAGTCACTAATTTGAAATTAAATAGTTATTTTGAAAGAAAGTCTCTTCTTTTTGGCCATAATTACTATCATTTGATATTTCTAAAAATAAAAGTTAAGCAGAGATTGTTAATTTATCGAGACTTAAAACCAATGAAAAAATTCGAATTATTTATTTAAGAAATGAGTATCATTTATAATAATAAAAATTATCATTTAAATTTGCATATATCTTCAAAAAATGGACAATGTTGTATCTAATTTCACAGATATCTATTAATTTTTTAATTTTAAATTATTTTAATGAAAAATTCATATATGGATATTTTAATTATCAAATTTAGAGATATAAATATAAATATAGTTTGATTAATTGAAATACATTTGGAGAAAAAAGAAATGGATATAGAATTTAAAAATAATTAAGTCTAAGCTGACAATTGTATTAAATTTGAAAATATATGTGTGAATCTATCGATTAATAAAATGAATGCCTAATAAAAATTCAAATTCCTTTAATATATTAAATTATCAAAATATGAAAAAATCTCAAGGTATAAAAAATGGATTAATTTTCACCTACATTTAATTTTATTAGGGATAATATTTTTTAATGTTTTTCACTACTTTCTTTTTCAGTTCTACACATATCATGCATAATTATGATACAAAATTAATAAATAAACATGACAATAGCATTCCTATTTGAAACCATGCAAATTAAATCTAAATGCTATATTCTAATATATCTGTTAAATCATTCCAATATAAGGCTGATGAAAAACAAAATATAAATGAACTTATTTCCAGTGCCATAGTATTAATGTAATCTATATTATTCTAAAAAGGTTTCATAATGAGAAGATAAATTAAATAGAATTAGCATATAAGAGTTAATAACATAATTTGAAGTTTTTGATTTTATTGAAACATCACTAATATGCTTATAAATAAAATTTTTTTCAATAATTTGATTTAATTTGACTTTGCAATCCATAATTATTTAGTACTCCTTATAATTTGATTTCTTATTCTACTAAATATTGTGGATGAAAGAATGAGACTGATATAAAAAATCAGATATGCAATTAAATAGGAAACGATTCTATTAGTTTTTGAAAATATTTAGAGAAAGGACATAAAAAGGAGATCCCAACTATTAGTGATAAGAAAGTCTTAGAATGCTTATCTTTCAAAGTTTCTTTTGAATTTTTACATAGACTTCAAGACTTTCATTTAAAATTTTGCAATATATGAACCAAAATAAAAAAACTGTTAATTATTCAATTTCCTTATTAGTTTTATGACTAAATAATTTGAATAATAGGTCATCATAAGCACAATAATTAAGAATACTTAAGTTTATATATTGCATAAGATATCAGCATTTAATTCATAAAATAATAATTTCCCTTATGATTGCAAATATTAATCATTCATAAATGATGTTAATACTTTATCAATTTTAATTTTGTCTAAAATAGGTTACATAGATATCAAGTTACTTGATTCAAAATAAATAAATAAATTGAGAGGAAAAACTACATTGATAAATCTAAGGTAAGATTACTATTGTAGTATTTCAAGTGTATCTTAAATTATTAATGAGCCACAAAGTATCAATATTAGCACAGCTGATCCTCCCATTGAAATAATTGTGTATTTAGCTACTTCTTTGAGGTAAATTGCATTTTATTTTTAATGATCATCAAGTTATTATGGAATATTAAGTTTTATTTAATTAATTTTATTAACTAGTGGAGCATCATTATTATTAAAAAGTTAATCTTCTAGAGTTACTTCCAAAATAGGTGGTTATGATAGAGTAGTGTTTATTTAAATTTCTATTAAATACTCTACAACTGAAACTAATTCAAAGGGTTCTTGAATAGGTATCAAATTTAAATCATAAATTATTTCATTTGGTTCAGTTAAACGCATGCGTATCATTTTTGAAAAAACATTCTAACTCTTTGTTTTGACCATTTAATAAAAATAAATGGATACATATTAATATTAATAATATATATTTGTTAATGAAAGTTTGAAAGCTGGTTATTTTTCATAACTACATTCTGAATATGAGTTTTGATAGTTCTTACAAATATAATTCTATTCAATTTTACATTAAGTAGAACATCCATCCCCATTTTCTATATTAAAATCATCACATTCTTCATCATCAGATACAACACCATTTCCACATATAGGTTAACAATATTTTTCAATATAATCAAATGTATATCCAATAATACATTACTGACATTCACCTTCGATGCAAACATCACAATTCTTTGAACAAATAAATTAACAATTTTGACAATCCTATTCCTCTAATTCACACAATTCATGTCCAGCCATAATTCCATCTCCGCAAATGGTTTGACATTAGTTGTTGATTAAATAGAATCCGATATCACATTCTTAACACATTCCATTTATACATAATTTACAATTGTTCAAACATTATTACTATTAATCTTAATAATTTATAAGGAACTCTTCAGTACATGAAAATTCATAGAAAGTCCATCCTTCTTAGCATTCAAAACAAATGCCCTAGATGCAATTAGAGCAACCTTCAATGCATGAATATTGACAATTAAAACATCCATCAAAAGGATAAATATTTCCATCATCACATTGTTCAGCTTTATCTATTTCTCCATTTCCACAGATTCCTTCACAAATGAAATCATAAGGAAAACCAAATGGACAATCTTAATTCATAATATATTTACCTATAAATATTTCAACATCTCTAATACCAAATGATAAGTCTGTAAATTAATTTGCCAATGTAGTAAATTACAATTCTAACAATTATTATTTATGAGGTAGATTAATTTCCTAATTTAATATTTTATCACCAATATCACCACCACAAAAATTTATTTCTTCTGTGATTGATTTATGAGAATAATTCCATATTAATTGATGATCAACATATAATTAAGCATATTCAGAATCCCATTTATCAATGAAAATAAACTTAAATTTAATTTTAATTTAACTGTGAACTGGCAGGTTGATTGATTTTATAATTTTGCTTTTTTGTCCATTTTTAACCAATCCTCCCAATATTGGAATAGCTAAAATAATGTAATATAAAATTACAAGAACAAGAACTTATAGATTATTTTCCTTCCAAAATTATCCATCCTTCCATTTAGAATTAATTAATATCCTCATTTAACAAACTTTGATAATAGGCCACCCAAATCAAGCAAACAATAGTTGAATCTTATGAAGCACAAATTTAACATCTAGGTGGACATTAGTAGATATATAATTTGAAATGTCTGATTCCCCACCATTCCTTACACATAAATTATTTTCTTACATCTATTTTATCCTTTAGTTTAGATGTCATAAGAATAAAAACTGATTTGAAGTTATGATTTTATGTTACACTTATTTACGATACTTCTTCACTGAATACCTGACCTTTTTTTTTTAATCCGCACAAGTTTGGATTTGTATCTGACATTCCATACTTTTTTGAGAACATTAGATTCCCCGTCTGCATATATATAAAAATATTCATCATCCCAACAATCAATTCTATATATTTATATTATATGTTACTTCCAAAATTCTAATGTAATCATGATTGCATAATGTGGAGGTAGAGTTATAAATTTTGTAATAGTTGTGTTTTAATGAAATCCATAAAAACCACCAAATAATTTAGTTTGGTTGCAATAACCAATACTTTGATTTGCATTATATACTTACCATCCTAGCATTAGAAATATAGAATACCTTCGTTATCAACAAAGCTATTATCTTTAAAGTTCTCTTGGTACAGAATCTATCCACAAGTAATTGTAATAAGAGCAATAAGCATTTAATAGAGCATAATGAAAAATAAAATAAATTTTCTAGAAAAAATAAATCAAACTGAAATATAAATCCTTAAAAGTCCATTCATTTTTAATCAGACTTGATTTAAATACTAAATATTTATTTAAGAGTCTTTTTCTTTGATTTTTCTATAATGAAACTTTACTTTAACAAGTATGAAAATTTTATGGAATATTTAAATTTATAAATAAACTAATTTTATAGAATTATGTCGAATTCTTTTTAAATATAATTATTTTCATTTTAGTAAAGATTTGTATATAAGTAGTATTGTATGTTATACAAATAAAGGATTAATTTAAAGAAATAATATTTACAGTTTAATACAAGAAATACTTTAAATAAGCCAATTGATTTTTCAGATTTTTAAATTAAACTACTGAAATGATTATTACCTAAATTATGATTAATCACTTCAATTTGAAATACTGTTTTCTTTATTCATTACTTTTTCTTTTAAAATTCACATTTAGTAACTCCATTATTACAAACTTAAAGGGGATTTAGAATTGGAATAGATAAGATCTTTTAAAGGTGAGATCAACAATTACGATTAATTTAGGCAATATTATTTTCATGAAATAGTTTCAAGTTAATTTGAGAATTGAGGATTTAAAGATAATATCACCCACAATTGAAGCTATGAACATAAATTATTATTATTTGAAGAAATTAATAACATTAATTGATATATCTAGGTTATGCCAGTATTTGAATTAATTTTTAATGATTCATTATTTAAGTTGAATACTTTTATATTGCATCTCTCTTTTCTATTATTACTACAATCGTATTATGATTTAGGTCTTGTTAAATTTTTGTTTAATGTCCGAATATGCAAAATTATTACTTAGATTATCAAATATGTTAATGAAAATATTTTTCAATAAAAATTTATATTACCAATTTTATTAACGATAAAATATTAATAACAGTTATATTTTATAATTTATCAATAAAACCATAAAAGTTTAATTGGACACTTTTGAATAATCAGAACATTAAAATTTTTCAAGCTTTTTAATAACAACATTTTATTTTGAGATTAAATTTAGACCAAACACTCTTAGGAGGTTCAAAAAAAAGATTATGAAGCTAGAAAAATATAATGTGTATATTCTTGATAATATAATCTTCCTTCAGATTATTATCTGCTTATCATCTCCGGCAGATAAATAAGAAGAAGAAATTTACCTTATTGATCTACCATTTTATCCAACAATTTAAAATTGATGAGTCATTATTCAATGAAAATGCTCCACAGCAAGTAGTTTCTGAAATTTAGGTGACAAGTTCATAACTAAATGGCTTTAATATTTAAGGTATAATGAATTACAAACTAGATTATTACTAAATGGAGACAATTTATCATTATATGGAGTAGGATTATTTTAGATTTAGGATTCAACATCAATTTTATTTTTATTAAGCATTTAATTTCTAGTGGATGTAATAGCTTATGAAAAATTAGATTTTATTGAATTGTGGGGTTGCTGCAGAACAAATCATTGAATCAATAGCTTAATCTTCAGATCTATCATATGATTAACTAGCTAATCTATTTTATGAACTTAAAAGATCCACAATATTAATTATGATGACATTCTAAATCATCATTTTCTAATGAAGAATTAATTAAAATTGATTCAATTAAAGATTCAAAATTACTTCCCGAATTTTTCAATTAAAGTATTACTTATGCTTATTTACTTGATGTATTGCTTTAATAAACTTTAAAAAATTTTAAAGCCTATTCAGTATGCATCTACCACTATATTTACAATTATTCTAAATTTGTGTATTATATAACATATTAAAGACAAGCTATTCTATTTTGAAGAGTTTTTATTAATATAAAATCAACAAAAACTATTTCTTTTTTCATGTTTTTCATAAATCCAATCTGTTTTTTACTATTTTTATTAATCATAAAAGATCCAATAGTTTATAGTTAATTCAAAATTTGACTCTGTTCACCAGCATTTAAACTTGATTTTAGTTTTTAAAATTATTACAAAAATTGACAGTTGAATAGATTACCTATTTAACTTAAAAGTGATTATTATAATTCCTAATAATTAACCTGTTAACCTATTATTAAATTTCTATCGAAATTGACATTCTCTATTTTATAAAATGAAATACCAATTAAGACGGTCTACAATTTAATTCTCTATAATCTTAAATCCAGACTTTATATTTTCCTTAATTTTATCAATTAACATATTGAAGTTTAGACAAGATTTTCCAGATTTTCTTTTATGTCATTTAACATTCCTAAATTCTATTTGTTAAGTGATCTTCTTTCTTCTATTATCCCATGCGTTGTTTCTTAAAAGTATTATTTGGATCTTTTATTAACACCAAATCTTTCTTTTTGTCAACAACAACTTTATTAAAAAATTAACTTTTAATCTAATTTAAATTTTGCAAGAAAGATTACTAATTTTTTGTGATCTATACAACTAGATTTTTTCCTTAACAGACATATTTTTCTGTTATTTTCTCTGATTTCTTTTTCAATCTTGCCTATTTTATAGTAAAATAATAACATTTTACTACTCCAGATCTATGGCTTACATTTAAATAAAGAATTCTACTCTTTTAATGAACTATATAAAATTTTAGCTATAATTAATGCAAAATGAGTAATGTTGTACATTCTGATTAGGATCATAATTTATGTTTATAAAATTTGATATAAAATTCTAGAGGAAGGAAAATAATAATCCTAATTCAATTTAGATGAATATTAAAAATTTATATTTAATAGAGATAAAAAGTAAAAGATATTTTTAGAGCTCAGAAATCCTGCCATATTCAATTTATAAATGGATTTAAATTAGTCAAAATATTAAACTTATTATGATATATCATTAAACAATAAATATTTTAATACATTTTTGAAATGGCTGATTGACAGTGGAGTAAATGACATTATTTAATTTATAATTCTATCTATCACCTTTCGCTTTTGTTTTTAGATAGAGATATATTCAGATGGTTGTGTTCAAAATTTTGATTACTTATTGATTTATTTTGAACTTAATAGACCAAGTATATTAAAGGGAGAGTCTTGGCCTACTAAGAATGGAGGAAAACCTAGCAATTACCATCCCACTAGATCTAAAAACCCTTCAAATAAGTCAGCAAGGATTAAGAGACTCGAAAAGATCCTTGATCAGAATAAGGTATATATGAACTTATTTCCAACCTATTCGTGCTTTCCTTAATTTTCTAAATCTGCCATAATATTCAACTATTGTGACTCAGTAAAGGAAACATTTATCTTAAAAATTTTTTGTATTAAGGATCAATTAGTTTCTATTCTTTTTGATATCTTATTTTAATGAATTAATTCAAGACCTAAAGAAGTTCAAAGAAGAAAATAAGGTAAAGAAAAAATAAAATATAATATGCAGGGCATATGCAGATAATTTAGCTGTAGTAGTGTTAAATAGTTAAATATTTAATGAGGTTACTACTTTCTTTTAATAAGAGGGCAGAAATGTACAATTTTAAGATTAATCTAGGTAAAACTAGATATTTAACTAAATCATCTAAATATGTTAAGGAAATAAAAAAAATTTTAATATATGGGAATTTAAATTGATGCTAGAGATGGAATCAATAGAGAATTAATTCATGTGAGAACAATAGTTAATCATTTAGTTGGATAATTAAAATCTTTAAATAGATTTCTGTTTTTTATACAAATGAAATAATGCTCGCATACACAAAAGAAGATATCAAGAACCATTATTACATGATTTCATAGTATAATTTAATTTAAATTAGTATAATTACTTTATGATTGTGATTAAGTTCCATTATGTCACAGAGTTAAATTAAACTTATCTATCTTTTCTAGATTTATGAGGAAATTATGATTGTTTAGTATAAGCTAGTTAGAGTATTATTCTAAAGAGTTGATAAACCATAAATTTACTTTTTAGAAAAAAATACACTTCGGAAATAAATTGTGTTAAGTTACAAAATATCATTGTAAATAAATTTTCTTTATTTCCCATATTTCTAGATTTTATAAATAGAATAATACTTCAAAGACACTTGCATTTAAGGTTGGTTTCAATATTATTCACTTAAACCATAATTACTGAATGAAAACCTTTTTCTGTTACTTGTACAAATTTTAAATAACAATTTTTTTAAGAAATGACTTAACAAGAAATATTGAATTATGTTAACAAGTTTAAATTTAATCAATAAACTTCAGCAAAGTTTTAATTTAACATATTTTAAATCTTAATAATTAATTTTATTATTAATTATTCTTAAATTAAATATAATTTGTATAGATAAGTACAAAAAGGGGGTTAGATTCTTCTCAAAGACCTAAGAAAACTTCTCGGCCATGTATACTGTACACCAAGACTATTCCTAATCATGAAATGAGATAAGCCTAATAGAAGTAGTACTCCACATTATCATTCTTCGATTATGTTTTAGCAAGTTCTAGAAACCTCTCAAAATTATTTCCATTAAAATATTTTAACGGGGTTACTAGTATATTAATTATGACGGATTAATCAATTTTTTTATGGGTCTTAAAAATAAAGTCGGATGTCATTTGAGTCCCAGACAGCCAACCTAGTGAATATTATCAGATCCACACCGAGTTTCGACCCGCTCTATTACTTACTTTCCTATAATTATACTGCACTGAGGGCAGGTTCATACTCTGCTGCCCTCCTCCCATTGCCTGGCTCTTTTCCACACTGCGTCTTCCTATCGATGTCGAACTTAATCAGAATCGATAGCACCCATATTGTGCTGTATTTAGATACTGCCAACAGATACACCTGAAGCACATATCTAAGCCTTGACATAAGGATTGCTCCATCGACTTTCATCTCTGCTCACACCAATAGTTAGTAGTCTATTATTCATAAGACGCAAGTGAGAGATCTGAGGACTAATAAATCTTGGAGACTCATAAGAGAACTCTAGTCCCCCATTGGCTAGATGTAGGGGAAATTATAAAAAAGAAAATTTAATTTTTTAATAATTATTTAATTCAACTTAACATAATAAATATGTTTATGCCTTATTTTTTTCTCAAGGATAAGCATTCGTATTCTCCATTTTAATGGAATAATTTTAATGGCTTCTTTCAAAACTCTAATGATTAGAAAATAAATTTTTCATCTGAAGTAGGAGAAAGTTTAGAACAAAACCCTTTGATTAAGGACAAATTTTTACCTTTATATTTATCTTTAACAATTCTGTTTTATTAATGTCACTTAGGAACTTATCTAAAGATATATAAATGAGAAAAAAATAATGTAAGAAGGTTCTTGAAGTTATCAAAATAAAAATAAAATGAGATTGAAAAAAAACAGTAAATTTAACTGTATCCTATTTGACAACGATATTTAGAAAGATATTTAAACTTATTTAGATTGATAAATCTGTTTATATTTATTAATGTGAGGCAATTTAAATCTCATTATAACTGATAGAAAATAATAATTAACCTGATATTGAATATTTACTTAATAATCTTTTTTAAATTAAATATTAAATATCTCTAATTGATTTAATTTTATTCATGATAAAGGATTATACTTTTAAAATTATGTCTTTGAAGGCAAGCACAATATTTTAATTTAATCTGAAAAATGTATTATTTTGACATCTTTTAAGTATTTGTTTCATAATTCAGTTTGAACATTCCTAAATAAATGTTATTAAATTTCAAAAAAGGGGATCATTTAAATCGATTTTGGTTTCGAATAAAAAGTAATTGAGCAATTCATATCTTGCTTTATTTTATGAAATAAAACTTTCTAACAAATTACTGGAATGTTATACAAAACTTATAGAATTGTATTTTTCTTTCCCTAAGTAATTTAACATACAATTTTTGATTTATTATTTTGTTTTAAACACAAAAATTTGCCTAATTGAAGTAAAAAAATACCTAATAAATTGTTTAATATATTAATTGCAGATTGGCTTTCCTATTTAAATAACTCTTTATTTAAAAAAATCTAACAAATCCTCTTCTTTGTAATAATCTTTCTAATTAGAAATATTTATTTATAAAATCTCTCCAATATATTACAATAAAGAGCTTAAGTTTAGGCATCTTTTTCTTTGATTTAAAATAATTAAAGAATATTGATTTTTAAATATTCATAGACCAAGAAAGGTGATGTTACATCTAGAATGTGATTGATTATACAATTATTTGCCAGCTTCATATTCAAATTTTTTGACTGCATCTATATTGTAAATGGTTCTATATGTTCTTCTGATAAATAATGATTCTTCCTAATATTAATTTAAAGCAAATTGCCTTTGCAGACTTTCAACAAACCAAAAAGACTTTGATTTCCACTAATTAATTGGTAATATTTTCATTATTTAATATATTATCAGATTACTATATTTCTTGTAATCATAAGTATCATTTGAAAATTATATAAACAAAATGAATTTTATATGATAGTAAATTTTTCAAAGCACAAGTTGAAAGATATATAATTATGAAAGAATATTGCAAAGAATAAATTCTCATACTAAGATATGGGAGATGTACAAATCAGAAGTTGATTAACAATTATTATATAATTGATCTAAGGCTTTATTCATCGTTATGTAATAGTAATCAAAACATCCATCTTATCCCTATAGGGAGATATTTATAAATAGCCAAAATCAATAATTATTTTAAGAATATCATGAATTTTGACATAATTAATCAGAAAAAAGGATCAAATACACTCATTTTATCTTCTAACTAGTGAAAATAGGAAATATTATTTTCAACAATTTATATTAATATATACTACATAATATTTTGGTGAATATAATATTTCTAATTTTCACCAATATGCATCCATTTATATTAGAGAAGATAAAATGAGTGTATTTGATCCTTTTTTCTGATTAATTATGTCAAAATTCATGATATTCTTAAAATAATTATTGATTTTGGCTATTTATATATAATCTTATGAATAATTAATCTTTAAATATTGAAATTGATAATTATATCCATTAAATATTATTTCTAATTAACTTCTTTTATAATTACCATAAAAATTTAAAAAGAAGGTTTGATTCAGTTTATATCAAAATAATTAATTATAAATAGAATTTACACTCATCAAACAAAGCATAGTTAAATGAAAGGGCTTATTGCAATTCAAATTTATTATCTTAAATTCATTTTAAGTTGAAGTTTAGAACAACCTCTTTATATTTAGATTATGATAATAACTTTCTTACTTGAAAATTATTCATCAATTTATTTCTATCTGAGAATAGTTTTTACATAAACTTGATGCTATGCAAAAAATGAAAAATTTAAATAAGTCAAGAATTATTGGTAAATTGGTTTCTTAGCTTTTTAATAATCACATAAATGGTATTAAGAGATAAAATCGATTCTTCTTTGTTTCATTTAATTTTTATTAAAACCCTTCTTTAATCAAAGCTATTTAAGAAGCATAACTAATTATATCAATACGTCAAAAAGAATAAGAACAGAACGAAAATAGATTTTATTATTCTCCATGTTATCAAAATATTTATTAAATTCAATTTTGTACAACTAAGATGAGCTTATTTTCTACACATTTATATCGTATGGAGTAATTTATTTTAATTGTAATTAATGAATACTTTGATTAATAGATTTTTTTTATATTTCACAATATCATATTCTTGCCATCATTGAATATTTTTATTAATTTTACATCATCAATACTGTTGATTTTACTTA